GCTCAGGGAGGTCCATATACGTCTTTTTCGAGCGCTGGAGAGAGGCCCAAGCGCCCAACCCCGAGGCTTGGGCGTCTTCGCCGACCTGCGGGAAGAAATGCTGGCAGCGGGCATCCCATGCTGGACGCAGGCCACAGGTGACGAGCAGATGCTTGCACAGGCGGGGCTGGTCCATGATCCCAGGCTCATGTTCGAAAGTAGGGCCCATCATACATCCGCCGAGCATTTGAGAGGCTCTGCGGTCCACCATTGCAGATGGGGAGGTCGTGCGGCAGACCAAAGGCCAGTTTCTTGCACCGGCTGCGGCCTCATGGCAAAGCTAATATGCCACCAACAAGGTTCATTTTGGAGATTCTATATTTCAATTGAATAACAGTTCCAGCCTGGCTTGTTGCCTCCTGAAAGCCCATCCTTTCCGGCAGAGTGCAGCGGAGTCTCGCCGCTCGAACTGGCCCCTCAAGCGCGCGAATTCGCAACAGGTAGGTTCCAGGCTCCCAGGCCTTGAGCAATCTTTCAGCAACGGCCCGTTCCAAATGCAGGGAAAAGCCATGCCAAATTCAACAGCAACATTGTTGCATTCCACCCCACAAAGCACAGCCGCGAGGCTGAACGGAGCGTGGAGGGCTCTCCATTTGCAGCGCAATTTCTATCATGTGTGCTGTGTGTGAGCACGCCGTGGTCTGCCCGTGAGGTGTTTTAAGCTGACCCGGCAGTTCTTTCAGCAATTGACAAGGACAAGCAAATAGAGAAACACACTGCAGCTAGCCGAGAACGCACGTCACGACATATCGCTCTCGTAGTTTAAGACGGCACCTTGAGGTCTTCAATTCTGAAGCCTTTCGCGTCCAAGAAAGGGTTGATTTGCGCCAGTCATCTCAGCCCATGCAGACGCAATCGCCTGTACTGGTTTGATTGGAGTCTTGAGCGGGAGGAGGGTGCGATCCTTTATCCCCCCAAACATGGAGATGCAGCCAATCATGGGAAGATTGAGTTTTCGTTTCCTTCATTTAAGTGACCCTTGTTTGCCTACACGTCCTCAACCGTGGTAATTAGGTCAAGCTCACGCAAGTTGCAAAGCCTCATGTGTAGAGTCCGTTCGTTTTTGTTAGCTGTTAGATGCCGGGCTTCACGCCTACGTTGCCGATGTCTCTACTTCTGCCAATCCCGTTGACCGGCCCAGCCCGCATTTGCGTGTGAAACGTAAATGGTCAAAGTAAACATCGCCGGACAGACAAGGCACGAGAGGCGCATCCAAAGGCAGCAGCTCAACAGAATTGCTCCTCGTTCCCGAGATCGGTACAAAGCTTCTGCCAATACGCTCAAATGCGGCGTGTCAGAATCCCAGGTGATGGATAGGAGTTGGATGGCGTAGTGGTGGCCGACTACATCGAGTGTCTTTAGGAAGGCTACTTCCTTGCCTTCGGGCAGGTGAGCTTCTTTCTTTAGCTTCCCATCAGGTGGATATTGCTGCTAGTTTCTGTTTCCAGTTATCTTTTCGCAAGTGCTTGGATCTTGGGCTGGAGTCTCTCCTCTGAGGTTTCCGCCCCTATAGCCTTCGACGCGGTTAAATGCAATACGACGTCTCCAAGCCTCCTTTTCCGTGCTTGCTTTGCTGTTTCTTTTCGCTCAGATTTCTTGCAACTATACAGCGGATGTGGAGGCTAGCGCTTGAGCTCTTGCAACATGAAGTGAACTAATTCTTCTGAGAGCTTCGTTAGAAGTTGTGTACTTACTTAAGAGGGCTATGTCCGCATGCAGGAAAGTTGTAGAAGAGGCGAAACGTGCCTTTCCCTCTTCTTGAGCACACGCTGTTCGAAAGATTTCAGAAGCCTTGTTTCTTGTACACAGGCTGAGAAAGGCTGAAAGTGCGGAGTCTTTGAGACATCGTTCTCGTAGTTTATGACGATGGCTGTGTCCGCATGCCGGAAAGTTGTGGAAGAGTTGCAACCTGTTTTTCAAGTTTCAAGCGGTGTGATTTGTAAGCTTGCGCAGCTGCAGAAGATTTTGCAAATGCAGCCATGACATGCCCTCTTCTTTGAGCTCACACCATTCAAAGATTTCCGAAGCCTTGTTTCTTCACACGAAGAGAAAGGCTGAAAGTGCGGAGTCTTTTCTTTGCACCTCTGTGGCCTAGAACCGCTTGGGACCCATGTTTTTAATGACATCATGCTAGCGTAGGGCGGCGCGAGCTTCCGCGATCCCCGGCTCCCGGACTTGCGAACACAAAGAACCAAAAATTGAGCAAGAGTCTTGGAGGACGTCTGGCAGCCAAGCATGCATTTGCCTTTAGTTGGGAGCTTGCAGGCGGCATGTACTCCAAGTACATGCTCGACATCAAGTGGATGTCGGGTGATGCTGCTGCTTCGCTGGAAAGAGCCAAGATCGAGTCCGCCAAGGACGTGATGAATGCATTAAGAAGGCAGGCGATCGCTCCTAAGCACTCCGAGATGAAGCTGCTCCTCGCTGGAGCCGCTTTGGATGATGAGGCGGACCTGAGAAATCTACCACTTTCCGTGGGGCTCACGTTGGTGGCCATGGACATCAAAGAGTTGGTGGCAGCTCTGGCATGCAGTGAGCTATGGGGAGGAAATGGGAAGGCTTGGGATCCCAACTTCAGGTCTCAAGGCAGAGAGGGTCTGTTGGGTCTAGGCGGTGTCTTTGTCGAAGTGCTGCAACGGACGGTTGAGAGCGGAGTGGCTTCTTGACTCCGAGGCACAAGCCATTGCCGACAGCACACTGCCTGAGGATGTCAAAGGCTCCATAGAGGGCCGGACTGAATCCCTTTGCCAGCTTTTTGATGAGCTACCGGAGCACCTCACGGCCGCCTTGGATGAGAAGCCGTTGCGCTTCGTGGAAGAGGTCCTTACGAAGCTCAGCCCAGAGCACGTACAGGTTTTCATCCACGACATGGATGCAACGAAAGAGCTGCTGAAGAGCCTGCGCCCGGAGCAGATCCCGGCCCTGCTCCGGGACCCAGCGGAATTCCTGGGCCCGGCCTTGGAGGAGCTTCGGGGGATCTCGTGCCTGTTGCACGAGGACCAGATGAATCTACAGGCACGAAGCAGTTGTGCTGCATGAAGCAGTCGAGCAGCCGCCTGAGCATGTTTTTTCTTCCCGATAGCCGTGGGCTTAGCTTAGGCATGTTTCAAGTGCATCAAGTCTTAGGCTCGTGAGTCATGCAGCCTGAGAGTGTGGAAACAGCAATGAGCAGCAAGCGTCACACGGGCAGGCGGAAGAGGAGCTGGGAAGCTCAGAGCTCCGAGGCTCAGGGGGGGGTTTCTGGGCTTTAGGGCGTTGAGTCGTCAGTATTGGTCACCTGGCAGAGTCACAGCAGGCCAGATGCAAGAAGGATTTGCGGACCGCACGATGGGGTATTCTCATAGGTGCTATGCGAGGATCTTGGACAGGAGTGCTGACGTGCCATTGCATTGCATCCTATCTAGAAATACGGCCTCTGCAGAAGACTGCTTGAGGGTCTGGCCTTAGGCTTGATGGTTCACAGTCGTACTCCGCTATGTATATGCCTGGAGTGTGCTTTCCAATTAGGGGCTGAGAGATATTTAGAGATGGGGCTTGGTATGAACGGTGCTGGCCAAAACGTGGTCTGGCGGGCTTGAGGCCTCACAGGCGCAGCACAGGAACTGATGTAAGGCTGAAGTTTGATTTTGTACGGTTTCAGAATGGATGCACGGCTGTAGCACTAATACCCTTACCCTGTTGAGCCTGCTCCACCTCACCTGGGAGCTTCGTAACATCCTCAAAGTGCGCCCTGGGCTCCAGCAAGCAAGCTCCTCGTTCTGGGCTCCCAGTTTGGGGGCTCAGGGAGGATGAGTCCAGAAGCCTCCTTCGTACCTGTACTGCAGTGGGGCGACTGGCGCTTTGCTTGTCGGCCAGTCCCCGGAGGTGTTCTTTGACCCAGGCTCCAGGGGCTCAGCGCCCGAATTTCCCCAGGCCTTGTTTACACCCATTCTTTTCGACAGATTGTCGTTGCAGGCAGAGGGTCCTTTGGGGGGGTCTCCAGAAGACCAACTAAAGCTTGTGGAAGCCCAGGCATGTAATCCCGGTCGGGGCTCCCTTGCCGCCAGGCTACGGTGCATCAGAGCCGGAGCCTGCCCAAGGCAGTGGGTCGACCGAGGCCGAAGATGGCTTTCTTGCTAGCGTTGATGTTTGCTCATGTTTCTATACGTTGTTCTGCGGGCCACGATTGCTGGTATTGGGTTGACACTTGTTCGTGTGAGCTTGTGCATACAACGTGTGCGTGTGCTACTGTGGCTTGAAATGCTGTGTCTACTGGCATGCAAGCACCACCAGAAATCACATGACCCACATCGAGGTTGAAGCGTGTCATCCCCTTGACAGCGTTGCATCTTTGCCTGCTGTCGCCAACATCGCTATTGCAGTAATCTTGCAGTGGTGAAACCATGACGTTTAAACTCAGGGGGAGTTCCAGTGCTCACCAAAGCCATGCATGCAACGGCCAACATTGCATCGTCTTCGTCATCATTATCAGCAGTAGCACCAGCACAATCAGCACCACCATTGATTATCAAATTCTTGCTGTCATCTTCAGCACCAACATAATCGCAGGCCGTAGGCATGATATTCGATGCGGCCATTGTCTTCACAAAAGGAAACCTCACACCACGCAGCTGGCTGGACATCTTGAAACGGAACGAAGCACGTAAAGTCATGACAGGGTGGAATGTCTTCACACAACTGCGAGGTAGAGCAGCCTGCTGTAAGTCCTCGAGGCCGGGCGTCTTTGTCAGGGCTTCTACAATTCATGAGTTCAGGGGTCCAAGGTCTCAGGAGTGCCTGTGTGGGTCCTGTTCAAGTTTTGGAAGGCACCTTGCGTGCTACAGTGGCTAGTTGGGATGCAGAGTGCGGTTCCAGTTCGGGCTATAGGTTGAGTTGACTCTACGATGTTTTACAGAAGTGCACTTTGTCAATGCGCCTTGGTCTTGCGCTGCTGCGGCTGTTAACCCCTGAGCGTGGTGGTGATGCCTGGTTTCTATGTATCGCGCGCCTCTTTGTCGCGCAGAGCCAGCTGCAAGTGTTGTGCAGGTCCTCGGGTGCACGAGGTGGCCGAGGGGCTGGTTGTGCAGCTCGAGGAGGGCGATGTGGCTGTGATGCATGACTCGATCCTCATGGTTGCGAAGTCACGTGTCTGTCAGAAGCACACCCTGAACTTCGAGGTTATGGCAAAGGATGGGCCTCTGCAGCTGCCAGACAAGGCTATAGCACTGAGCCCGATCGTGGATTTGAGCCCTGACGGCGTGGTCTTCGAGGAGCCCATTCTCGTAATCCTCCCAGTGTGTATCGGGGCCACAAAGGCTTGGAGATCCCTCGGTGACAGCAGCAAGTGGGAGGTCCTGCCAGAAGCAAGATTCCATGCCGGTTACGCAATCCTCTACTTGGATCATTTCTGCAAGATAGCCGCCGGTGGCGATGAGCCATTGGAAGCAGCCATTAAGATTTCGTGCTACATGAACTCCCTTTTGGAAGCCAAGTGGGCCATCACACATGCTGCCTGTGGAAGTTGCAGGAACTTGCTTCGAAGCTATGCCAATGACGAGGATGTTCTGCAAGACTACAAACCGTGCAAGCCTGCTTCTTACCCAGCTGGGGGCTATGCCCATGGCCAAGACTTGAGGCTGGCTTGGCCCCATGTTTCAAGTCTTGAACCGGAGCCCGGCCAACCGGAGCCCGGTCGACTGAACTTCAGGCGTTTCCCACTTGTACCTTGCTTGAACCTCAAGATCTTTCAGGAATCTGTCCAGGACTGCAGAAAGTTGTGTATCTCCAGAAATGTTAGATTGTCTTTGGGGTATCAGATCAGGTTTCTTCCGTGCCCTGGCCGTCGCCCGAACCGTCTTTCGAGCTGCAGATCGTCGACAGTAGCGAGACGCGCAGGTGCAGATTCCGCGACTCGGCTGCAGTTTTTTGCGTGAGATCCGTGCCTCACTCTTTCAACGCCCCAAACTCTAAACCCTTTAGACTCATAGTGGCATAGACCCTGAACCCTACAATCCGAAACCTAGGCATGCCTCAATGGCACGCGATGCTTGTGTTTCTTACGGCCCTGGAATAGAGACCTCTCAACTTCGAGCTGAACTCGGCAGCATCCGAAAACGTGAACACTCCCAAATACCCGAAGCCCCAGCAGAAATACTACGAATATTGTACACACAAAACTATAGTAATACAATAAAACATGCAATTGTAATCTGCTACGGCTGCTCCTCAGAATGTGGAACTGCCGAGGGTCTCCTGATGCTCGAACTTTGCTTTGGCATAGATGTGAAGAGTTTCCAATAGCTGACCATAGATCTGTGTTCCTATGCTGATGTTTGGAGTCTCCAATATGGCAAACCCCAACTGAATCGCCTGAATTCAGGTTCGGGAGATGCACAACCAGTAGCAGATGAAGATCAAGACAGGGCAGCCGAAGTGCACCTTGCCCTTATGCATTCAGACTTGTGTTCCTAGCAGTTGTCGTACCATCGCTGTGAGTAGTTGTGAGCGGTAGTTGGTGCTTGTCTGCGAGTTAGGGAAGTACCCAGAAAAAGCAAAGAGACTGCAGCACTAGAGCAACAGACGCATGGACCTCTGCAGTGACATGTAGCTGATCCAGGTTGAGCTGTGCGGTGCTGTGGTGGCAGTTCTTTGTATTAGTTTAATGCTGCGATTTTGCTCATCCTATGCCGCTTTCAGCGCTCAGGCGCCTGCAAGCCACTGCAACAAACACACTTCAGGTGGGATTGGGGGAATTAGTCGTGGCGCTCAACCTTTGCCTCCATGCGACCTAGTACCGATAGGAACACAGGTTTGCAAGGCTTTACGAGAAGACCCCAAACACGTCGGACTGCTGGAGCAGGCAGAATTGTAGCCGTGCTGCAAGCATCTTGTTTGGGGATCAGTTGGGCGCCTGCACTCCACACACCCCGTTCAGCTTATGCTGCAAGACTGTAGCGAGGAAGATATGATTCATTGAACTCTGAGGGCTGCCTTCTCATCCCGAATGCGTACCAACTAATCCTGAAACTCCCTAAGTTGTAGTAGTATCCTCTGCTAAACATTAGCACACCGTCTTTTGCACGTTATAGTTTGGCATACACATAAGCGATGCAGTCAACCTCATAAAGCAGGCATCGTGGGTCCGACCCCCCAAGCACTGCAGCCTGTCTGATTACCTGGAGGCGGTGGTGCAGAGTCTGGCCGACAGTGTGGCCAGCAGCCCGGCCAGCAGCTCTGCTCCTTCCGTTCTCGAAGGATTTGAAGGCGCGGTGTTTGACTTGGGTGGGTTTTGCGTTAGGGTTTTGGGGTTCAGAGCAGCTTCGGGTTTCGGATGTTTGGATCACGGTTAGAGGTGCAGTTGCCCGGCATGGTATCCGCCACATGCGCACCAAAGCCGGAGAGATGCGTATGTACCAAAATATTTCGTTTTCCAAAAAAAACCCTAATCCGTGCATCGGAATAGTGGCTCGCCCCCCCACTCACCAGTACAGAACACAAAAACCGCATTAGTGGAAAATGGACAGAATGATTGCTGCTTAAAACACCCGCTGCGCACCCACACTGCGGCCACCTATTCAAAACTCTATTTGGTGTATGAAAGAAGACTAAGGGACCTGGGCGGCGGGCCCGTTTCTGATTCAAATTCATAGAAACCAGAGATGGTAAGGGGTAGCGTAGGAAGGAATGAAAAATGGCTTCCTTAGATAAGCGCTTCAGTGGGAAAGCTTAAATCTCGGGATCCTGGACTTCTTGACGGGTTTGCAAAGCTAGAGATTGCATAGCAAAAGAGAACGCTACTGGTTGCGATCCGTGTTTTGCCACACAAATTGACAAATCCGACTTGAGCCATGACTGTGATACCTTTTCCGATTCTGCTTCATATTCATAGAAGCCAGAGATAGAAAGGGGTAGCCTAGGAAGGAATGAAAAATGATTTTCCTTGGAGAAGCGGTTCAACTGGGGATCGGCGAGCAGCTCCAGATGCGGAAAATCAAATGAAGATGACATTTTCATTCATCCGGATTTTTTCCTGCCCCGATAGTTTGCTCTAAACATGGTTTTGTTTCCCATACGACATCCATTCGTAATGAAAGCCATCTTCTGGGGCCAACCCCGGCCAAAATATTTGCTTGAAATTATTCTGAGAATCGCGGATTACTATCCTGGTCGAGAGGGTCTTCTAAAGGGGCTTCCCCAGTGCACGCCAGGTTCCGCGACGTCGGTCACGGTGAAGGAGCTTCTGGAGAGTGTGGCTGGGAAAGCGTTTGGCTTGCAGGGTCTAGGAACATCTCCGATTTTTGCATTGAAGCCTGACAGGGTCAACGACTTTGGGGTCGGAAGATTTTGTGGTCGGTGCGCTTTACGTTATGGGCCGGAAGGCCGGAGGAGGTGTTGCGGCTGCCAGGGGACTTGAGGTGGGGTGTTCACAGCGGAACAAAGTCCAAGAGGATCTACAAGGCCGGTACTACAGCGCACTTGTCTTGTAGGCTGCGGGACGTTGGGTTCCTAGTTTCGAGAGGGTCTTGTCTCGTCTTGAGTGCTCAGCCAAAAGAAAAGTTCCGAGGCTCGGCGGAGCACATAGAAGCGCGATGCATGTGTGAAGATCTCATGGTGCCTCCTTGATGTCTACGCGCTGAACTGTGGCAGCACTAGCCATGAAACTTACCAGCCAAGAGCTCCCCCAAGATTCCCCTGAGTCTTTGGACTTCCTACTCCTGCCCCCAAACCTGAGCCTACAACCCAAGCCCTCAACCGTTAACCCTGCCCAGGCCCACAGCAGACAGCTTCAGCATCGAAAGCAGAAGCGGAGGCAGCGTCCGTCTGTCACGGTCACTGCCCTTGCACCCTGGCAGCGATGAACGCCGGCAAGGCTTCTGAGGGAAGGCTTTAAAGTACATCCTTAGCAGTTCCAGATTCAAATCCTGCATTTTCAATTCAGTGCTTATTTCGGGTTCGGGGCAAGTGTGCAACAAAAAGTGTTGAAGGGTGTCGGAAACCACTTGGTCAATTCTGCCGCAGCCCGAGGGTTGCCGTTGCACAGCGTAGACACTACTGAGGGAGAGGAGAAGTCGTGTGCCCCATTGTCGTTCTTCTTTCTGTGCAGTAGGCAGAGAACTCTCCAGACCAAAGTCCGATTCCCCGCGATCTCGAACTACATAAATGCATCTTGTTATGTGCAGCCGCTTCACCGCAGACCGGGCACGTCAAACCAGCCCTGAATCAAACCTAAACACTCCAACACTAAGTTCAAGAGAGGTCGATGGGGCCTCTCTCCTGAGTTGGCCACGTCTGCAAGTCTTTCGGGTTCCAGAGCTTCTGGCACCAGGGTGTTAGGACCTCTGCTTCAGGGCCATAGGTTTTTTTTCAGAAGGCTTCCGCCCACGCAATTGGGAGCTGGAACAAACCCCTCGCCTCTGAGTTGGGCTCTTGAAAGCCCCAAGTGCCCGGCCTTTAAATCACAGGAAAACACAGCCTTTGCTTCTGAGCTGAGAAAGCCAAGGAGCAGGCATCACAGGCGTCCTCCGCCTCCGCCGCGGCGGCTGCAGCTCCCTCTGTGCCATCACGGAGACACCTCCTCCTCTCTGGGCGCTTCAACTCCCAGGACAAGCTGCTCTTGTTCTTCGGTGAAATTGGTGAGACAGGTGGTGGCGCTGGTAATATTACTGCTAGTTCTGCTGCCACCACTACTTCTGCTGCAAGTATTGCTGCTACCCCCCCTCCCACCGCCAACATCACAGTCCCCCCCCCCCAATGAAGGGCAGCCACTACTTCGGCGCTTGCATGCTGTTGCCATTGCAGCTGCTGCTTCCGTTGCCAGTGCTAGCTGCTCTGGCTTTTTTTGCTGTCTCTCTTGTTGGTTTCGTCCCTTCGCTCACGGGCCGTCATGATTCTTCGGACAGTGTAGATGTCTGGATGACTGGCTCAGAGGAGAAGCTGGACTACATGGCAGCCGTGAAAAGCCAGCTGGAAACTCTCGCGATTCCAGTATTTATGGTGGAGACATTTGGAGCAGGTGACGCGTTTGGGGGGCAAACTGCAGTTGGACTTTACAATGCGCTGGCTCTTGTCGCCTTCTGCTCGGACGACTACGGGACCAAAACAGGCGCCCAATACGAGACCTTCGTCGAGCTTCGCTATGCCCATCAGAATGACATCCACATCATCCCCGTTCAGCTGCACGATACTTTTCCACCACAGCCACGGGATGAAGAAGGTCGTGCACAGAATGCTCTGGTATTGCGAAGGGACATAATCCGCATCCAGGATATCGGCATGCATCCAAGTCCGTGTCCTGGGAACTTTTTGCGTTGGTCAGTGGAGCTCCTAGCAGTAGTTTCTACCTTAAGTTCCTTCCTTTCTTCAAAGAATCTCGTCCTGACGACATTTGAGGCACGATCCGCCAAGGGTCGGCCAGGAGATTGCGGCCGCCTGGAATGCGCTTCAACGACGGTAGCACCACGCCTCGGGATGCGGAGTCGCGGCCTCAGAGCAGCAAGAAGCGGCAGGTACACAGAGTTGTGATCATGTTGGAGCGACTAGAGTGTGGGAAATTGGGGTTTGTAGTGACTCCATGCACTATGGTTCTGTAGTGTGGGTTTCAGGCACATAGCTGCGGTGTGAGTGAAGGGGGCCGAGGCCTTGGGCCGGTGTTTTCTTAAAGTGTTAGCCTATACAGGGTTTTTAGAGCTCCTTCATGGGGACTTGCAGGGGTTCATGGGCTCTATGGGGCATCGAAACAGGGCTGATGGCTCGCAGTTTCAGAGCTCCCTTTGGTTTTTTGAACTACAAGCTTAAATCCTGCATTCAGATTTTTCAGGTTTCAAACTAGAATAGTCATAGTGGATCATCAACCCTGTGAGCTTTAGGACTATAGGATAACGTCGTGGTGCTGCTCGGATTTGCTTTCGGTTTGGGCGAAGCCTTGACATGGTGAAGGTACCAAAAAAGTAAAGTTTTAGGTGAAATGAAGAGCTTGCAGGTTTGGGGAATACTGGAGTATAGGGTTTCGGGCTGTTGGTAGGGTTCCGGAGTAGAGCATGCGAAATTCCCAAACCCTTGCCCAATCAGCTCGCCCTCATTGCCAAGGGCGCAAAGCGGAGTCCTTGCAAAGAATGCAGGGCTCCTCCGACCGCCTCCGGGTCGCCAGAGCAAAGGTCTTTCTCAAGAGGCCTGTGTACATAGACCACAGCAAAAGGCAAGCTGTAAAAGCCGCACATGGTATCGGCAGTTTACATGGTGCTTGTAAGTCTCGTAAGACGAAGAGGTAAAAGAGTCTAGTGGAGGCTGCAGTAGCAACATCAGACAAGAGCGTTCCATGCCAAGACTTTTTGTGACCTGGCGCGCCAACGGATTCCGAGTTCATGGCCCGAGCGCTACATTGAGCATCGCCCCTAGCAAAGTCGATTGCTTGCGGCTGCTACTTAGCGCCTCTTACAACGTTTAATGAAGCAAACGATGTTTCTTGTTTTCGCCGTGGCCGTCTTGCCGCTGGCGGCCGTGAAAACCAACAAGGACCTCCCGTTCGATGTCCTGGAGGGAGCCGATCCGAAGGCCAATGGCACCCAGGTTCTGGAGAAGATCGTGGAGAACAACCTGCTTCACGACATGAAGGAGGCCTCTCAGGTGCCGGACATGGAAAAGAATGGGACCAACGGGACCAACACTACCAACAGCAGCGAGGCGGGCCTCGGGCGATTGGCTTCGAACTTGGAGTTCTTGCTGCTCAAGGTGGCACAGCTGGACACCTGGCTGCAAAGGGGTGTAGCATAGTTTGCGGGTAGAACAGGGTTGTATGTATGTTGTTTGTGCTTTGTTTAAGGAGACGGTCGTTGAACTGCAGCAGCTTGAGATTCAGAAGCTGGACAAAAAGGTGGACGGCTGCATGAAGGAGGAGCATGACAAGAAGGCACCTGGCCTGTCGCTGTTGGAGGTCAGGCAGCAAGAGGAGGAGCGCACTCAGCAAGCGCAGACCATCTTCAAACGGGTCTTGCAGAAGCACCATCACCAGCGGGAAAACAAGACCTTTGTCACGCCGGTGAAGGCGACAGAAGGCTTTCAGCCAAAGCATCAGGATCATGTGAGTGTGGCCAGGCGGAAGTCTCAGGCCAAGGGCAGCGAGGCCAGCGAGCTGATGCTGGAACGGAGGAGGCAATCCTCGAAGTCCTTGGATGCCAGCCTCGCCTCCAAGGTTCCAATTGTCGATGACCTCGTGGACGCAGGGAAGAGTGTGGGCGGGGCGATTGTGGATGGCACGGGTTTGGTCGGGGACGCTTTGGGGGATGCGTATGAACATGCCACGGACAAGATCTCTTTCGTGGCGAACACGGTCATCGACACTGTGGAGAAGGCCATCGACATCCTGTCACGCGGCTTCAACAGCTTCCACGCTGGCTGCACAGTCCTCCCCCCCCACTTTAGCTTTTCCGGTGGTGGCCTTCGTATCTTCTTTGGTGCAATGGTTTGCTCGCTTACGTTGATGGGCCAAACTACCCAGCTCTTCCATGTGCATTATTCTGACACCACTCTCCCCTTTCCGGAGCCACTGAACACCATTGCCAGCTTCGCGACCAGCCCAGTGAGGTCTGTTCTCACAATGGGTCACGAGCTGACCAGCTGCCATCCGAACTCCAGGTCAATTATCACGTGCCTGGGAAACAAAATCATCAACTACGTGCCCCCTCTGAGCTACCTGAACCGCATGAGCGACATCCTCGCAGACTTCCTGGAGGGCTTCGCAAAGGTGGCCGCCACCATCGCGGGACAGGTCTTGAAGGGCAGCATGTCTTTGATCCAGCAGGCAGTGAAGTCGAAGTTCCCTGCTGCCGGAGCCCCAGCTGTGGTGCATCACTCTGGCCAAAGCCTCGTGATCACGACGCACACGCGCAAACGCGAGCGCAAGCCCGAGATCTCTGCCCTGCAGATGGACGGGTCCGATGAGCCCCCAAAGGATGGCATCTCCTTCAACCTCCACAACGATGGGGGCAACTACCAGTCCAAGCTCATCTCACAGCTCTTGGGCTGAAGCAGAATCCTTTACAGCACGGATCAAGAGGGTAGAATAAATTCTAGTGTATCTAGTGTAATTACTGAGTATACTACGCACTTTTCTGGTGTATTGCGACTGGAGCAGAACCCACCTCGTTGTGGTCTACTGGGCTTCTTCTTCTTCTTCTGAGGGGGACCCGCAGTGTTTTTGCATATGCATACAACGCATACAACACCAGGCGTCTTTCTGTTAAGATCATTTTGTTTGGCGTCTGACTTGGGTTTAAGTACGAAAGGCCCGCAACTTGGAGTTTCAGTCCTAGACGCTTAAAGCCTTGAACCCCAGGCCCTAAACTGTAGACGTATGGATTATGTGCTTCCCTGCAGCGTTGATTGTCAGCTAGGCATGGCGGTAACGCAAAGAAACTTTAGGGGTGTAGGGTTTAGTGAGTTTAGTGTTAGACCCAAACCCATTATTGCTGCAGCCCACAGCGGCAGAGGTGGCACGGCTACGAGACGGACACCGGATCCTGCTTGGCTTTCGCCCCCAAGACCAAGCACCCTTCCTGTGGAAAAGAGCCCTAAAGGCCCTAAACCCTAAGCAATAAACGCAAAATGCTAAACCTCAGGGCCTCCGTCTTGGCGCTTCAGTATGTAAGGGTGTTGTAGACAGCTGGTGTATACTACCCACTTGTCCGTAAACACTAAACTTCACTAAACACTGACTGACGTCTCTTGGGCGCCATAGAATCTCAGTAGAAAGAGTAGTGGACTCAGGCATGGGCACAACGGCCAGGCGACCCACGCAGATTGGCAGGCGGGGGGGTCAGCACTGCTCAGTGTTGCCCCACCATGTACTGGATATGACCACGTGACAGTGATAGCAGTAGCAGTAGCCGTAGTACTAGTAGTGCTAGTAGTAGTAGTCGTCGTAGTAGTAGTAGTAGTGCTACTACTAGTAGTAGTAGTAGTAGTAGTAGTAGTAGTAGTAGTAGTAGTAGTAGTAGTAGTAGTAGTAGTAGTAGTACTAGTAGTAGTAGTAGTAGTAGTAGTAGTAGTAGTAGTAGTAGTAGTAGTAGTACTTACGCATGAAGAACCCCTATTGTTCCTTACTGGGTTCTTCACACATAACCGTAGGAGTAGGAGGAGCAGCTGCAGCTGCTGCAGCTGTTGTTGCTGTTGTTGTTGCTGTCGCAGTAAGATTACTACCACGTAAACCCTCAACCCACAAGCGTAAACCCTCAACCCTAGATCCTACAACCCTTTTGCCCAAAACCCTAAACCCAAGGTCCACGACAAGAACAGCTTCGTGGAGCTGCAGCCTTGGGCCGTGCCCTGTGGGACCAAGTGGATGAAGAAGAACATGGACAAGTGGCAAGGTCGGTCGCTTTCTCTACTCAGGTCTCGTATACATGCTAATGATCCTTAGTTATGGCGGCCTGCAAACGGGGGTATCTTGGCTTTAGTAGCAAGACTCCTGGCAGAAAAAACCATGTTATTATTTTCTATACTATACTCTACTATAGTATGTTATACTCTAGTATACGAAACTAGAGTATACCGTACTATCCAGTGAAGAAGCGATGAGTAAGTGCGCTTGTGATAAGCTGAGGTTCCCAACTGGATTCATTACACCCTAGTGCTGCATGTTGACCACACAGTATACTGTAATAGTGGTCTAATTTAACACAATATCAAGTGTTTATGTCGCTTTGTAGGCTATTCCTTTTACACTGGGGAGCTGGCCATCGAGAAGTGTGTGACCGTCACCTATGGCATCAACGTGCAGCCCGTTGTGGCCTTCGTCGGAGGCATGACGTCAGAAAACCATGCGCAGCTCGAGTTTGTTTTGCGCTTCATCGTTTAGGGCTTGGGTGGCCAGATGCAAAAAGGGCTTGTGGGGCTGTTGTCTAGGACAGGCAATATTTGGCAGTAGGCGAGAGTAGGCAATGGTTTAACTTGGCAGACCGGGCGGGCTAGATGAATTTCAACCGCAAAGAGACCAACCAGTACAGTCACTAGAGTACAGTCTCTTGTAGTCTACCGTATTTTTCCCTTTTACATCCTTTTACAGTGTAGTATGGTACCGGTAGACAAAAGTATGCCATCGTATCGGATCTTTGCGATAGAGGAAAGATACAACCCATAAGCCCTAAACCCGAAGTAGTGCATTAGCCGTGTTGTTCTCGGTTACGGCGGTGTGCTGCATGGCGGGTTGCACAGCCCGGGCCATTCTCCCGACCTACCCTGAAGGGGTGTTCCAGACGCCGAGTGCAGATGGAAGAAAGGTCCTCAAAAGAACCCCTAAACCCCTAAACCCCAAAGCTCTGCCAGGCGTGCAGTTCGACGTGATGCCCAAGCCGCTGGCATCGATAGATACCACGGTCTGCTGGCCTAAGGGCAGGCCTGATGGTCAGGCCAGGCTTTGGCAGGGCTTTAGGGCTTTAGGGCTTTAGGCTTTAGGGTTTAGTGGGTAGGGGTTCAATTTAGGGGTTTAGGGTTTAGGGTGGGAGCTGCAGGGCTTTTGGCAATACTAGTTGCACCACTCAACTTTGCATGTTACATGCTACATTCAGCTATAGCAAAGTGAAGCGCCGTACCATGGTTTTTCCCGAATGTTCCGCAGAAGGGTTCTCGATTCAAGGTTGGGGTCCAGGGGCCAAGGAGGTGACCAAAATCCGCACGTTTGCGTTCGCACGTGTCCGCGGGTGTCGCGGCCATATCACCTGGTCGCGAAACGCAGCACTGTCGTCAGTGTCACAGCGTCTCAAAAGTGTCAACAGTCATGGGGATGAGGGGGGTTCTGGTCGCGAAACGCGACGAACTGTCGTCAGTTTTGGCTTCGGGTCATGTCGTCTACGTGTCGCATCTTCGTGTCGTGTCCTCGTGTCCTGTCCTATCTTTGTGCCGTGTCCTGGTCTCGTATCTTCGTATCGTGTCTTCGTCTGCGTGTCGTGTCACTCGTGTCGTGTCTTTGAGTCCTGTCCTCCTGTCGTGTCTTCGTGTCGTATCAGTCACAGGGATGCCGGGGGTCGTGGTCGTGTCCTCTCGTGTCGTGTGGCGTCTTCGTCTCGTGTCCTCGCATATCTTTGTGTCGTGTCCTCGTCTCGTGTCTTCGTCCTTGTGTCGTGTCCTCCTGTCGTATCTTCGTGACTTGTCTTCATGTCGTGTCTTCGTGTCCTGTCCGTTTTGTCATGCTATGTTTTTGCGTCGTTTTCTTGGTCGGGTCTTTGTTTTGGATCTTCGTCCTCGTGTCGTGTCCTCGAGTTGTGTCCTTGTGTGCCCTCGCGTCGTGTCTGCACGTCGTATCTTCTTGCCGAAGCTGGTGTCACGTGTCTGCATTCGGGTCCGTGGCTCCTAGCAGGTTTGAACTGTAGTACACTACAGTGGATTGACAGTAGCTTCTTGAGAGGTACATTAAGGATACGGCATGTTTGCGTTCCTTCGGACATTCTATCACAGTTGAGTCCGGGCAGGACCTGAGTGTCCTGCGCACGGAGATCAAGTCCAGCGGTGTGCTGCTTTTCGCCAGGACCTTGTGCCTGATCGAGTATATACTCTGGTCCAATTAAGTGTGTTGTTTTCCTAGCTATACTGTCAGTAGTACTTACTGCATCGTACGCAACATCTTTCTCCACAGCAGGGGGAATCCCGAGCTAGTGACACGAGCTACATTGTTGGGAAACAATGGCCGTTCAATGACGGCAGCCGAAGCGAACTAACGACTAAGCTAGCATCAACACCCCCAGGCCGCAGCCCACAAAGAGGATGCTGACAGCAAGAACTGAAGCGGAAATCGTAAATGATGGCAAAGAGCCAAACAATTGGGGAAAGTGAGGAAAAAGACGAAGTGTCAGATGGGCAAAATCACTACTATACAGTGAGGTCTGATTGAACTGCCAAGCGCGCTCAGAATCGATGAGTTGTATCAGAGCCGCAGTCGTTAAGTGCACTCAGTTGCTGCAGGGCTCCTGCACCATGAACAGCCACATAACAGCCACCATCCAGAAAAGCCAGAGTGTGAAGCGTAAGTGGCTATGAATGCACGTGTATCGCCAGCGGCAGTATACGATCCATCTTTTTGCTGCCCCGAGGCCCGCACCAGCACTGTATGTGTGAAAATATGGATCAGTGACGCACACAACCGACCACGTACATGTTACATTGTAATTGTTGTATCTGCGATTGGCACAATGGCTGAGCTTGGGCCGCGTCGTCTGTGATCCATGACCCCTGACTGCTGAGCATCACCGTCTGATAATGTCCAGCCTGCGTCGTTGCTCCCAGGTGTTGCACGCATATAACTGCACGATAAGTTGCCCACCTGACGTCCCCCGGCTGTTCTCGAAGATGAATCGGAACCTGAAGCAGGTGTGGGATATCATAGGGCTGGGTGAGCTTTTGTACGTTTCTTCGAACTGTTGCAAAGCGGGGAAGTTGTAGCAAAATCATGTCAGCCTCACCATCCAGTGCGTAGCAAGCCTCCTGTGCCTGCCAATTGTAGAGCAGCTGCTGTACACTCATTGTGGGTTTCACCGGTGTACTAAGTGCAATGGCATGAGAAAGCCGGCCTCGATCAGTGATGCGGACTCTCCCCGAGTCCAGACGAATGCCAGACCAATAGCCCCGAAAAGAACCTCCAGGTAGCTGAGGCAACAGGAAAGCTGTGAACTCCACCCAATCGTGCTGACAATGAGGCTTCGGCCATCCTACCATGTAGAATCGTAGCGCGAAAAGCGCGCTGTTTGTAGCTCGTGAGAGGACCTGGCGAAAAGGTCGTACGCAACATCAATATGAACTACTCTGCTTTGCAGTATTTGTCACTGTCGCCTACTATACAGTATACTACACTCAAACATACTTTGCGATAGCATACGGCGTTGACGCAGCATCAAGAATACGGTATTGTACTAGTTTTCGAGTCTGCTGCAGTGCTGCAGTAGGGTCCAAAAACGGATGCGCTCGCAAGCACTGTCAGCCCTGGCAAAGACGGCCCTGCGCAGGTAAGTAGGTTAGTAAACACCTCGTCAAGATCGCCGGAAATGACCGCCCTGCGCACATCCACGTTACCTTGCCAAGATGGGGGGGGGGGGGGGGGGCAAACGTCTCGTTTGCGCCGTAGAGTTGCTAATTGCTATTACTCTTATGATTATATTTCTTATTACGATTACCACCACCACCACGACTACTACCACCTACCAATACTACCGCCTTCCAATACTACCACTAACACGACCACTACCAGCACTACCACTACCACAACCACTTCTACTACGACTACTACTACTACTACTACTACTACCACTACTACTACTACTACTACTACTACTACTACTACTACTACTACTACTACTACTACTACTACTACTACTACTACTACTACTACTACTACTACTACTACTACTACTCTACTACTACTACTACTACTACTACTACTACTACTACTACTACTACTACTACTACTACTACTACTACTACTACTAGGGGTATTGCGCGTATTTGACGCTGTGTCATCCTTCATTTTCCATGTTTTCCCATGTTCTTCCAGAGACGAAAACACTGCTATTTGCAGTGTTTTCTGCTCATGCATTGAATGCTATGCCACACTCCGCCAATTCCCAACGGCGACGCCCATGAGGGCCTTTCGATTTTTTGTGAGGGTCTTCGGTTTCCCATGAGGGCCTTTGATTTCCCATGAGGGCCTTGCCCCAATAATTTGTGATTAAAATTGGCTTTGGCTTGGCTTGGCTTGGGGGGGTGGGGGGGGCTTGGGGCTGGGGGGGGGGTGACCTGGGGTTTTGGGTTTAAGGCTATAGGAGTTTTGGCCTGGCACTTCAAGCTTCGGGATTTCTGGTTTTCGGTTTCAGGGTAGACGAGTTTTGAGCTTGCACTTGAAGCTTCGGGGTTTGGGGTCTAGGGCTTAAGGGTACACGGCTTTTGGGCCTCCACTTGAAGCTTCGGGGTTTAGGGTTTAAGGGTCCAGGAAATTTGGGTTTCCACTTGAAGCTTCGGGGTTTGGGGTTTAGGCCTTAAGGGTACCGGAGTTTTGGACTTGCACTTGAAGCTTCGGGGTTTGGGGTTTAGGGCTTCAGGGTCCAGGAATTTTGGGCCTCCACTTGAAGCTTCGGGGTTTGGGGTTTAGGGTCCAGGAAATTTGGGCCTCCACTTGAAGCTTCGGCCTTTGGCACTTTTTCCTGAAGCTCCCGGATGAGCCTACCTGCATAGGTAGTGCAAGTCTCCAGCCGGTGGCCCGGCTGCCCACACACACGGCATCTATGTCTGTGCTGCTTCGGCATGGCTTTCCTTTCGCATTCGAGCATGGAAACAAGCGAAGACAAGTCCGAGATTGCAGCCTTGACCTTACAAGACAGGAAATTCATGTAATTGGCGTCGTCGTTGGGAAATGAGCACTCTGCCCAAGAACGCTGGTTTTACCGATGGAAAAGGCACTTCGGACGCAGACGGACGCGGCGTCAAATACGCGCGGAGCGCGTACTACTACTACTACTACTACTACTACTACTACTACTACTACTACTACTACTACTACTACTACTACTACTACTACTACTACTACTACTTACTACTACTACTACTACTACTACTACTACTACTACTACTACTACTACTACTACTACTACTACTACTACTACTACTACTACTACTATACTACTACTAATACTACTACTACTACTACTACTACTACTACTACTACTACTACTACTACTACTACTACTACTACTACTGCTACTACTACTACTACTACTACTACTACTACTACTACTACTACTACTACTACTAATACTACTACTACTACTACTACTACTACTACTACTACTACTACTACTACTACTACTACTACTACTACTACTCCTACAACTACTACTACTACTACTACTACTACTACTACTACTACTACTACTACTACTACTACTACTACTACTACTACGACTACTACTACCACTACTACTACAACTACTACTACGACTACGACGACTACTACTACTGCTACTGCTACTGCTACTGCTACTGCAACTGCTACTGCTACTGCTACCGCTACTACTACTCCTTCTGCTGCTACTACTACTACTACTACTACTACTACTACTACTACTACTACTACTACTACTACTACTACTACTACTACTTCTACTACTGCTACTACTACTACTACTTCTCTTATTATTATTATTACTACTACTACTACTGCTGCTACTGCTACTGCTACTGCTACTGCTACTGCTACCGCTACTACTACTCCTTCTGCTGCTGCTACTGCTACTGCTACTACTACTACTACTACTACTACTACTACTACTACTACTACTACTACTACTACTACTACTGCTGCTGCTACTACTACTACTACTACTACTACTACTACTACTACTACTACTACTACTACTACTACTACTACTCCAGGACCCTTCGCCTGGTCAAGCGCTTCGGCGCTGGGGCTGGCTTCTCGACGCACCACAGTCACCACGTGAAGGCGCGCGGAAGAAGCCTGAATCCTGCCGTCCAGAAACCTCGAACACAGAAGCACCAGAACCCCCGAGTCTCTTGCAATCAGCCCGTAGCCCTGAACCCTGAAGAAGCAGAAGAGCCTTAAGACCTAAAAGCGCGACACGCCAAGGCGACCACCGCCAACTGGCACCAGCCCACCAACCCGCGCCATGCCATGGACCGTACCAAGCTCCTGCAGATGCAGATGGAGGAGGCCAGAGGTGCTCGAACACAGGTTGGGGGATCTCCGTCCTGGTTTGGGTTCGTTTAGGGGTGTGGGTTGTTGTAGTGCGTCATGGTCTTGCATTCCTCCCACCCCCCAAGTGCCCGCTACAGCCTGGGATTCTTTGGTATAGAGGGCACCCAAAACCCTACTTCCCCGCATGTATGGCAGTGTTTTATGACAGGTACACAATCAGTCCGTGAACCAATCCGAGAAATCCGATGAGGGCACCATGGAGTGGATGGAAGAAGAAGAGTTGCACCTGCTCAGCAGGAGGAAGAGCAATGGTGGGAACAACAGCGCAACATCAAGTAGACGTGTTTGAAAACCATGATGCCAGCATTTTGTGTGTGCTAGTTTGGTGGGGGGGGGGGGGGGCTGCGCCCCCCCAACCCCCCCGCTTTTTTAAGTCGCGCAAGCTTGCTTCAAAGCACACGTATATGTTGGAAAACCATGATGCCAGCATTGTGCGCAGCCTTGTGTGTGCAGATGGGGGGCGGGGGGGGGTTGCGTGTTTGAGAACCATGATGCCAGCATGGTGCGTGCAAATCCCGCTCCTTAAAGCTTGCTTCAAAGCAAAGTACATGTTGGAAAACCATGATGCCATCATTGTGTGTGCAAATGCCCCCCCGCACTTTTCAGTCGTGCAAGCTTGCTTCAAAGCACACGTATATGTTTGAAAAACCCTGATGCGAGCAGAGCATTGTTTGTGCAATGGGGTGGGGGCTTTTTTAAGTCGTGCAAGCTTGCTTCAAGGCAGACGCGCCTTTTCTAGAACCCGGGAAATCTACCCTAAACCTGAAAGCCTGAACCCGAAATCTATAGATAACGTTGTCTCTGAAAGGAATGCTTGTGGGCAAACCAGCCCTCCTGCGCGTAGTCGTAGTCGTAGTCGTAGTCGTCGTAATAGTAGTAGTAGTAGTAGTAGTAGTAGTAGTAGTAGTAGTAGTAGTAGTAGTAGTAGTAGTAGTAGTAGTAGTAGTAGTAGTAGTAGTACTAGTAGTAGTAGAAGTAGTAGTAGCAGTAGCAGTAGCAGTAGCAGTAGCAGTAGTATAGTAGTAGTAGTAGTAGTAGTAGTAGTAGTAGTAGTAGTAGTAGTAGTAGTAGTAGAAGTGGTAGTGGTAGCGGTAGTAGTAGTAGTAGTAGTAGCAGCAGCAGTAGTAGTAGTAGTAGTAGTAGTAGTAGTAGTAGTAGTAGTAGTAGTAGTCGTCGTCGTCGTCGTAGTACTAGAAGGAGGGAGTGGTGTTAGTCGTCATCATTGCTGTCGTCGTCTGCTCTGGTTCCGACTGGTGCCCGGAGTGTTGGCGCATCGGGGGGTGCGCCGCCGGATCCGATGTCCCCGAATGCCTGTGTCATTTGATTCATGGGAAGCGAGACCTTCCATTTTTTACCGTCGTGCAGTGTTCGGTGGCTTTCCGTCCTAGGAATCTGTGGCCCATAGCTGCCTTCAGCTTGCTTCGTCGCTTTGCCTTTCCCGGAAAGAAGGCTTGTGCCTAGAAAGGGTTACGCCCCTCTGCTTTCTCCTCAACCAGTCAGAACCCCAGCCTAACTCTTCAGCGCTTACCTTTATTCACTTAGGTGTACGACAGCATGGTACCAGTACCACAAAATAGCAAATGAAAATTATAGCATATTCTGTTAATCTTGTGTTTTTGTTGTATGTATACTATAGTATATTCTCATATGCTATACTGTAAGTCAAGGTATCTGGCTTCCGCGAACTATTCAGTGGACCTTGGGGTCAACTTGACCTCTGAGTCTGGGCTGACAATGGTTGTGTATGTGTTTCTATGCTGTGGACGAGATCATCAACAACACAGAGCTTAGTTTAGTATACAACACGCATAGTACAGTATAGGTGCGCCTCAAATCAAGAAACCCCTGCTATACTCTAGAGTACGCATTTCAGCGGGACCACACTCGATTTTCCAAATTCAAATCCAGTCCAAAAGCCTAAAGCTTTGAGCCCAGGAGCACCGCGGGCAGGCGGCTTCGAAGGAACTGAGGAAGGCACAAGGAGCCTCTCAGTGGCAATGGAAGGTTGAGGGTTTTTGGGTATCGTAGCGCGCTTGGAAAATTGCCATAGCACTCTGAGCATATCGACAAGAGCAAGTTGACGAGCAAGCGGAGCTAGTGCACTGATGGTGGTGGTGGCGGTGGTGGTGGTAGTAGTATAGTAGTAGTAGGTGACACGCTCTTAACTGATCATGGTGTTTTCTGCTGTTTTTTACTTTTTCTATCGTTTTCTCTGGTTTTTTCTGCGTTTGACGGGTTGGGGGGGGTGGGGGGGGGTGGGGGGGGGGGTAATTACGTGCTGTGCTTTGTGCACACATGACCATGCTGAGGGGTTGGGGGGGTAATTACGTGCTGTGCTTTGTGCACACATGGGGGTCGTGCTGGGCTTTGTGCACGCTTGACCACGCTGTCTACTGTTTTCCTCTGTTTTTTTGGTTGGTTTAGGGGCAAGATCTTTTGGGCTCACAGTGGAGGGTTTAGGGTTTGCAGGTACAGATCTTTTGGGCTTTTTTGGGAACCTTTTGGGCTTCCAGTGGAAATATGGGGTTTGAGGTTTCAGCCTACAGATCTTTTGGTTTTTTTGGCATCTGGGGTTTAGGGTTTCAGGGCAAGACATTTTGGGCTTACAGTGGAGGGTTTAGGGTTTGGGGCTTGAGGGTAGAGACCTTTTGAGGTTTTTTGGGATTTGGGGTTTAGGGTTTAAGGGTAAGACCTTTTGGGCTCACAGTGGAGGGTTTCGGGATCTTTTCGGCTTTTTGGGATTCACAGTGGAGGGTTTAGGGATCTTCTGGGTTTTTTTGGGATTTGGGGTTGAGGGTTTAAGGGAAGGGTTTGGGGTTGAGGCTGTAAGGTGAAAGGACTTTTGGGCTTTTTCTATGGGATTTAAGGTTTAAGGGGGTGCACTGTGGGACTGCTTTGTCATTCAGGGTACACATGGGGTTTGGGGTTTCAGGCTCCAGATGTTTTGTGTTTTTTCTGGGGACGTGCTTGACGCTGTGGGGTTGAGATTTTAAGGGTGCACGACTCTTGGGCTTGCTTCAGGTTTCGGGGTTTCGGATTTCAGGGTGCACGACTGTTCGGCTTGCTGGAGGCGTTCGGGTTTAAGGACAAGTTTGGCCACATCTTAGAAAACCCGCGAAACGCTGTAAATACCGGTCTTTTCCTCTGTTCTGAGAACACGTCTGCGCAAAGTAGGCCCTGTAATTGACCGTTTTTGAAGCCCGAAAACACTGTAAATACCGATGTTTTCCTCCTGCGCCTAAAGTAGTTGAAAGTAGTTTGCGGGACTTTTTACACGTCCATTTTTCGTGTCCGTAAACGGACAAAGCCAGGAAACACTGTAAATACCGAGGTTTTCGTCTCTTAACACGAAAATTGCACGCCACAAAACCCCTGCGATCAATTAAGAACGTGACGCCTAGTAGTAGTAGTAGTAGTGGTAGTAGTAGTAGTAGTAGTAGTAGTAGTAGTAGTAGTAGTAGTAGTAGTAGTAGTAGTAGTAGTAGTAGTAGTAGTAGTAGTAGTAGTAGTAGTAGTAGTAGTAGTAGTAGTAGACTAGTAGTAGTAGACTAGTAGTAGTAGTAGTAGTAGTAGTAGTAGTAGTAGTAGTAGTAGTAGTAGTAGTAGTCGTAGTAGTAGTCGTAGTAGTAGTCGTAGTAGTAGTCGTCGTAGTAGTAGTAGTACAAGGATGGGTCACGGGAGTGGTGCGCATGCTTTCGTTTGTTGTTTTTAGCTAGTCTATATTACTCGACCATGTGTACTGAAACCCTATGCCCTAAAACCTAGTCCTGAAGCCCCACACCCTAGCCTTTGACAGCTTAAACCCAAACACAAAGCCGGAAACTGCTTTCTTTTCTGGAGCTTCGAAGAAAAAACCAAGAAGCCAGACGCCTTTCTCAGGTCTTCCAGCTCTTCAACTTCGTGCATCCAGGGATGGTGAGCTTCAAGCTCCAGGCATTCTGCTTCTCTAGTTTTTGAAAATATGGGTTTTGAACCAAGACTCTCTTTGTTTTGAGTTCTTCGGCATGCTAGACCCTAAACCCTGAGCGCTGAACTCTAAACCCCAAACGCTTGAGGCCCTGCTTGAAGGGAACAGCTTCGAGATGCGGACGCAGATGGGTTTCGGTCCTTTCTCCTCCAACGAGAAGAAGATCTTGGGTGCTGTTTAGTAGGAGATTCTGTCTTGGAGTAGATACGAGGAGAATCCGAACTCGTATTTGTCGTTGTAGTTGTCGTTGTTGTAGTAGTAGTAGTAGTAGTTGTTGTTGTTGTTGTAGAAGTAGAAGTAGAAATTCGAAGTTAGAAGTAGAAGCTATCCTGCTGCTGCAGCAACTGCTGGTCTTTCCTTCAGTCAGGATCAAGATGGTGGACATTGTAAACCAGTTTCTGGTGATCCTTCACGCCCTCCCCTTCGTGTCTGTGAACAGCAGAAACAAGGCTATCCATGCCCTGCGGCACTTCTCGGGCCAGGACACGCCGCCGCCTGTGATCCCACAGCCCGGTGACAACGTCGCCATTCACAATCGGTTCTTCAACCAGTACCTGAACATTCACAATCACGGTGCCGTGCACTCAAGTCATTCCCATAATTACGAATGGGGCCTGCACCCAAGTTGGATTTGGGAGCGTTGGACCGTCATCGATGCAGGCAACGGCGAGATCGCGCTGCATCACCAAAGGTCGAACCGCTTCCTTGGCATCAACGAGCACGGCCTCTATGGCCATGTCGCTGCGGCCAGCCACTTTCACCACAGTTGGGTCCACCATCGTTTCAGAGTGGTGCCCGTGGCCGGTGGATTCATTGGATTGCACAACATGCTTACGAACAGGTTTGTGTCTGTCGGCTATCACCATGGGACGTACGTCAGCCCCAAGATGAACGTCGGCCTCCGAGTTGTACGGTTCGCAGTATTAGACGGCTTCTTCTGGCAAAGTATGTTATTCTGCCGTAGTATACCAGAATAGACCATGGCATGCTGCAGCATAGCGATTTCTACACATATATGCTAACCTCCCCCAAGACCAACCCCAACTGAAAAGAAAATAGGCAGTTTTGTAGAGTGAGCTTGTTTCTCTCAGGAATGCCTATCTTTGTATTTTGCCTCCTATGGAAACGCAAAGAAAAAAGAAAAATGGCTCTTGCCTCCTGTTTTTCGGTTTTGTATAGTATATATCTTGTCTTACTGCTCTTCGTTTTATGTGAGAGGTTGGTTTTGGGGGGAGTTACCCTATAAACATATGTACTGTCATACCGCAGAGAGACAGAGGTCGACGCCTTGCCTGATGGCTGGACGCATCAGCAGTTCCGCTTTCAGATCATCGAGCCCTTCTTGAAGCCTGGCAGGGTGCTAGCCTCAGAGCTGTACCAGAGTTTATGTTTTGGGGGGTTGCCAGACTGTGTGGAAGATGTACGTCGTGTTCTTCAGGAAGGTACCGAGCACCACGGTGTACTGCACAAGAAAGATAAAGACCTAGGTGGTGGCCTTGTTCAACCATGCTCACCACAGATGGTTGCGCATGCACCACTGGGACCTGGACCGCTCTTCTCCACATGGTCTCGATTTCCCTGCCGGTTGGGCGTGGGAGCGGTTCCTGGTGGTGGATGTCGGGAACGGCCAGGTGGCGCTTTTCATTGGACCTACTCTACTTTCGAAACTTTTGGTGTAGCATCGTGATAAAAAAATCCAGTATAGATGGTGTAGTACAGACTACCCTGATTGAGTGCAGTGTGCTCATTGAGGTGGCGCTCTTCGGCACGCATTGGAAGAGGTTTGTGGGCCTGGACAACACCGGACAGGCTTATTGCACGGGCCCCATGGAGGCTGATGGTCTGGCGGAGAAAGAGGTTTGGAACCACTTCCAGGCGGAACCAAAGAATGCAGCATACACCTTCTTACAGGTATATATATATATATATGTATGCAAGACACACGTGCTTCGCACGCACTTAGTGTCTGTATGGACCACCGGATTACGGGACCTTGCAAAGCTCGGAGGTGTTGCAGGTTCTGAAGCCCAAAGATCTGAAGCCCGGAGGCCCTTCCGGGCCTTCAGTAGGCTCAGGACCCTGGACAGCTGACAGGGTGGGGGTGGGGAAGTGGGGGTAGGGGTTTTGTGAGGGGCCCGCTGCTCGGCTGCTCGGGCCCGGAGCAGATGAGTTTTAAACTTTCAATGGCATCCAGGACTTCAGGGGCCTTGGAAAGGGTCGTTTAAGGGACTTCCTGGAAGAAGAGGTATGGCTGCCCATTGGCGGCATGCCTGCACACTGTGTCCTACGTCCCGGTGCACGTGCTAACATACCACAACGATCATAAACTCAACTTGGCAGAGAAGGCATGCACCCTTGCAAACAACTGTACAAGCAAAATCACACAACCAATCAAAACAACAAAAATCTCGTAAATAAAGACAAAGTAAACGACTGCAACTTTCACCCCGCAGGGGACTACCAGAAGTACAAGGGCCCTGCAGCCTCAAGGCCCAGGTACAAACAAAGCAAGCCTTGCGACAAAACCACAGCAAACTGGGCTGAAGAAGGGGGGAGGAGGGGGAGCAACAAAAGAGGCGACCAAAAGGAAAAAGGAGGGTAGGGAAAAACAGGCCCCAAACACAAAGCGCAAGGGACAGAGGAGAGCCAGAAAACCACCAGAAACATGGGAGACATACCGAGAAAAAGACCCCGACACCAAACCGAGACAGAGGACCCAACATAAACGGACGCTTACCAGCCCGCCCACAAGACCAACCAACAACAAGAAAAGCTGCAGGGACAGCACCCTGTCAGCACTGATGACTGACGGTACCCGAGTCGACAGGGACAGCAAATTCAGGGCACCGAAGAATTCTGAGACAACGAGGAAAAATGCATGAAAAAGGGCAGGTTGCACGGGCACATTTTCCATGCGCAGCGTTGCGATCCACCTGGGGGGGGGGGGGGTGGATTCTTCACCTCACCTTTCCTTACGACGACGACCAGCTTCCGGCACGCCACCCTCAGATTCACGCTTGGGACTATGACACGAACCATCACTGCCCCGACTCTTGCCTTTGCCTTTGCCCTTGCCTGTAACATCTTCCCCCAGTTGCTTGAGGACCAGCCTGGCAGCCATTCCAGGCTGGTGCCGATTGACCTTCACGCCCAGGTCATGCTCCCTGCCGAGGCAGCGACAGCCAGGCATCCTTGACCCTTTGTGCTCCCTCCGAGTCGCGTAGGACAACCTGAGTTGGCTAAGGTATCGGATTTCGGCCGTCGGATGACTGACTGCGTTCACCACTCCAAGAAAAAAACAGCAGCAACTTCCAAGCCCTCCTTGTCCATGCCCGCAAAGTGGTCCCGCAGATGCAACGAAGATGTCTGGTCTGTTGGCGTCTTTGAGGTTTCCCCCCACTTGCCCCAGAGCTCCATGAGCTTACCCTTGAGGGCACCCCTGAAGCAGCAGCGCGGGGCCTCAGCAAGCATATGAAGCTTCGTCAGGACGGGGCGTCCCCTGCATCTGCTGTGTAATGCATACTATCCAGGTCGGTCGAGTGCACGCATGCATGTCAATCACACGGTGCACGTGCGTTACAGTTCCCGTTGAAGTGCCCGCACTGCCGGAAAGAAGGAGTGGAGCCGGTACCACAGTTCCAAACTTCGCATGCCTACTCCTTGCAAATCGGCTTCTCGCAAACACGTGTAGAAAATGACCGTAGCTTGAAGGTTCGAGCATTAGCGCAGCCGCAGTCTCGGTTCATGCGAAGTGCAAACCTCCCAGCGTCAGGGGATAGAGGTCGCGAAGAAGTCGCTCGTCTTTTTCGTCAAGGCGCGCTCAGCGTCGGGGTTCAGCCGCAGCACCAGGCCTGGCAGGCCCACGTCCACAGCAATGAGCTCCAAGCGGCTGTCTTCGTCGGCGCAGCTGCGGTCCTCGTGGCCTTCCTCGTCGAGCTCAACCTGCACGAAGCGATCGCTGAGACGATAGAGCCAGGCACGGGGCAATCCCAGACCGGGTGGCCCGCTCGCCAAGCCAGCTTTTTACGGACCTTCAGCTTGGCTCGGTCGGGGTACTGCGGAAACAGCTCCAGCAAAGATCCTCATTAGATGGACCTTTGCAGCACGCGCGGGGCGGATGCTCCGGCCCACCGCAGGCTACTGACATACAGCCTCTCCAGCACTTCCGAACACTGTACGGAAAGCATGTTTGGCACATTCCCCGGTAAGCGCCTTTCCGGCACGGACCTCCACATCGCTTGCATGTGGTGGGCAAACAGACGCATCCTCCTGTGTATTTTGGTGTCGTGGGGTCTTGCCTGAGGGGGGAGAGAGTGAGGAAGAGGAGGCAAGGACGGGGGTCCCTGAGAAGTACTGCCATCTTCTGATCGGCAGGGCGCGTGCCGGGACAGGGTCTGGAGTTGCAGGCTATGTCCCAGGGCGTTCGACGACGAGCATTCGAATACGTTTAGCGGGGGGTGGCCGAGGGCACGTACACTGTTCTTTAACATTTTCGCTTCTGTTTGTACCATGAGTGCGAGCAGTGCTAGATCGCGGGCGGTGATTACTTCCGTGTTCCAAGGCTCTGTGGCCACAAGATTGATCAGGGTACACCACTCCTGCCCCAGAAGTTTCTTAGCCACGTTGACTAACTGAGCAGCAGCCGGTAGTCCTCCTGGCGAGCTTCCCATTTGACCCAACACGGCGCCTCCTGCCCTCCCCTGGGCTGAACCGGCCGAAACCATACAGCTATCGCTCGGGTAGCTTGGCGCCAATTCTTGCCATTGTCTGCACATGCCAGTTGCAACCACCCTGTGTAAGACAGCCCTGCTGCCCGCATGAATCCCGCGGACAACCCTCACAAAAAGCTAGCAAACATTGCCCACTTTCATTCACATGTCCCATCCCAAAAAGCATCACTGGCCGAACACAGCCCCGCCTCTCCGTCCCCTCTGCGCCGACCCACCCGCGCATGAAAATCGCCCATCACAACAACCGGCTCACCTGAGCTTGCCGATCCCACCATCGCTTCCAAATCCCTGTAGAGCATAGACCGAGATGACGTTCACCAGCCTGCCCTTGAGTTTCAGCTTGATATGCGCAAAAGCAATCCGCCCTCTCTCATGCCTTAAGCAGGTCCGCATTCAGAGCAATACCCACTCCTTGAATAGACCGATGTGCCTCTGGCACCAGCCCTGAGAACAAAATCGAATACTCCCCAAACCGAACCACATCCTCACTTTTCCACCTAGTTTCAGGAAGACAACACAACGAAAGATTGGTTTCCTCCAGTACACGAGAAAACTCCTCCGGTTTAACCACGTGTCCCTCCACACGAAGTTCTTTGGAATCCCCAACCTGAACGCAATTACCAAACGCAAGAACGTTCCTCCCCACCCCAAACTCCAGACTCCGGCGCTTCCAGTTGAGCTTAGAACTCGAGCCCGCAGAGGGAGCCTTCACCTTTGGCTGCGCTGGCTCAAATGGCTGATCTCGGAAGGTACAGTTCGGTCCTGGGCAAAAGAAAAAACCCAGCGCCAGCTAGTCAGGCTGATACTGGGTGTCTGCCAAGGGCAGATGAAGGGGTTTTCCCCTGCTACAAACACGTATTCAAATAGACATCCACATATATACACACACACATGCACACATAGACAAACATAGACACATACACGCATAGGCAACACAGACACATACGCACACTTCCTTACATACTTGTTTAATTGTGTATATACATTGCATGCATGTGTGTATATGCACGTCTGTTATCACTGTGGGGTTGTGGGATGGCTTTGAGTTGTGTACTATTGCGGCAGTGCAGAAGGACTTCAGACGGAGCTGATCTGAGGTGGTACCGGCAGGCCATGGCCAGATTGGACTGCATAATCCCACGAACAACCGCTTCCTCCGGATGACGAGCTCGGAAGGCTCTTTGCTGGGGCTTTAGGGTTTAAAGTTTAAGGATGCTATTTTTTATTGTCGGTGGGGTTCAGTGTGTGGGGTGTAGGTTTTTGGGGCTTCGGCTTTTGGGCTTAGGGTTGTGGGTGTAGGGACACGCCGTGCAGGAATGGCGGGCATCGACGCCAGCGCACCTTGCGGTGCGCAGGAGAGCACACAGTAGGCCAATGTTTAGGGTTTAGGGTTTAGTCAAAAGGCTACCCCCATACTATACTATGATTCTACGCGGTAGTATGCAGGATCTCCCCGATGGATGGACTTGGGAACGCTTTCAGGTCGTTGATATCAGCAGCTTGGACCTTGAATTTCAGGGGATGTAGGGGGATCCTAAACCTCCCCGAAAATACCGATAACCCGATTTACCCTATCTACCCCGCTTTTGTTGGGGATGTTTTTTTTGGTGGATTTAGCTCCAGAAAGCAGCCGCCCAGCACCTTTTGGGCACTCAGCCCATTTGGGGAGGTTGAGGGGCTCGGGTTTAGGCCCGAAACCCTGAGCCCTAAATCCCACTTGGCTACGGCCAGGTCATTTGCACTACCCGAGCGCTCAACCATCCAATCCGACGGTCCCTTCGGGTTGGACCTTCCACGGTACTCGCTGAAGAACATCTATGTCTCTATGTGAGGAACTTTTCGGCAGCTTTGAAGTACCATGGGACACCTTTTCTACTTGTATGACACATATGAACAAGGATCCAAGTGGAATATCAACTTAGGCACATGCCCATATGGTGCAATCTATCCACGCCTACTGCACAAAGTCTGCCAGACATGATCCTGGCTTAATCAAGACAGCCGAAGTGGACACGGAGAAGACGTGTCACTTTGGTTTCGGGCCTTTTCCATCGGTGTCACCTTGCACCCGGCCCATCGTCCTCACATCGTTTGAGCGAACAAACAAGAAATATGCAGGGATGCTGCAGGTATGGGTTTTGCCTCCGAGGCAAGCCGATTGTTGCATTCGGTTCTGGGAGGTTTCACAAAAACATCATGCCTCCGAGGTAAACCGATAACTATATTCGGTTTGGGGAGGTTTCACAAAAGTATCATGCATTTATGCCACGACTTTTTCTATGGGGGACTGTAGAAGAGTGTACAATACACAGCACAAGAACCACAATTTCCACAATATAATTTTTCTCCACTCCAGCGACTGAGAACCCAGACACGAAAATCCAGCCTCAACCTGCCACCGGAAGGATCAGGCTGAAGAGCAAGCCCCTGGACAACCCAACACATCAATCTACACATCAACACAGGAGAGATTCATTTTCTTCCCTCGCCCTCATACTTACAATCCACTTCGAACTGGTATTTCACGAGAACTATGGCTGGGTTCGAAATACAGATAGTGATACGTAAGTTGGTCACCTTGTGGATGAGCCTCCTTTGTGTCTCTCTCTGGCGACGTTCCTCGTACTCTCGTAATTCGGGTTCTTTTTCTTTGAAATTACGAGGAAAATTTGTGATTTTGTCTGTAGGCGGGGGGGGGGGGTTCTGAAATTATTCATTTGGTTTCTGCACGGCATAAACCTTTATGGCAATCTCGAATCCCTGGAATATGGATTTGGGTATAGAAGATGATTCCACGAATAGTTCAATAAAACCTCCAAAGAAATGATGAAAGATTTTCAAATTCTTATATTATACGAACTCAAAACGGTGATTGATATCAAATTACTTTAAATTCTATGTTTAAATTAAGTAAAATTACCTAAAGTCATATTCAAAAAGATTAGAATAAATTTATTTTGATCAAGAATCTTATATCAGTGAATTCTATATCATTTTATATTTTCAAAATATATGCCTCAAGAGCATACGATAAATCCATAACATTCAACGTATTCAAATCTTAAATGGAATTCTGATATTTGTGCCGACAGAATTCGCGAACATTGTGCAGTTATCTTGGAGAATTCAATGTATATTGAAAAGTAGAGCTTCTCGGGGTAAGTAACGAATATCAGGATTGCAAGTTGTTGTACGTAAAATATCCTACACATCGACGCACAAAAGCGCAAGCGTGCTGGGGCCTGAGCAGCATTTTTGGCGGCAACGATAGTGTCAGTCAGCAATATCAGGACATCAAAACAATGCGTTCCTGGCTTCCTCCTTTCTAGACATAAAACTAAATAATTAATATTTTTTCCTGAGCCACAAAGAATCAAGCCATAAATCATTTATATTCGAATAATATTTTTGGATCGATGGACACAAATATTGGGGGCCTTGATGGGAATTGCTGGCACGTTGTCAAAGATGGAAAAAAATAGTTTGTGGTGAAGCGACTTGTTGCCGTCATTTTGGGATTGTTTAGCAACGGTGGAAAAGTATTTCTTGTTACCACCACTTTGTCGTCAAATGTCAAAATGTATTGGGTGATTGGTGTCATTTCCTTTCTGGTTCATTTTGTTCTAATGAAAAAATTCAACATATTGGTCAGTTTCTTTTTTTTGCCAGATGAACCGTCCAAAATCGGCCGCTGCGCGGGACAGGAACGTTTCCTGTGCCTGCCCCGAAAACTAGGCATGCTCTCCAGGTCCCTATGGCCATGAGGTCGAGCCTCAAACTTTCCATGGCTCAAGCCATTTTGGCTCAAGCATGAAAGGAACCAAAACAAAGCTGTGAGAAACCCTGGAACCAACGCCGAACGCAGCCCTGGCGAGGATAAGAGGTCCTGCAGGGATACAGCAGGGATGCGCCTCATACTTGTTTAGCAACCAAGCGAGGCCAGGCAGTCAGCAAGGCATGACCATCCGGTGGTAAACAACTCAAGGTTGGAAGTGAGCCACAGGGCTGTGTCTGATCCACATCCATATCACCGAGTGGTGGGTGTCGTGACCTAACATTAGGATCACTTCCGGTGCCAAGATCCTGAGGACGGTCAGAATTTCGGAGGCGGCCCACGTGAAGTGAACTGCAGAAAGCCCGCCTTGCAGGTGTTGACAAAGTGGAAACCAGTTCGGTGCCCTTTAGCACAAGACCGGCTGCACCTAATGATCAATTTGTTGTACGCAATCTGTCAACCGTGAATTTGGGTGTGCGCTACATAAAGTTTTTCAAAAATTTTCACATTTTTTGTTTCAGCAAGCTTTTGGGCAAACAAGTGGCACCCCCGTCGTCAAAAAAAAACTTCGCTTTTTCCGAATGTGGGGCTTGCTTGCCGAGATATAGAAGTGGCAATATTTATTTGTGCCCAATCACAGAACATTCCATTTTGTTTTTCAAAATTTTGCCCAAATTGACGGTTGACATCCATTACTTGAAGTTTTCTGATTGTGTACAAGAAATGGACGCCGAAAATCGCAAAGTTTTCTATTGTTCTTTCTCCACGGAGCCCGACGCCATGAACCCTCGACGCCCTTGCGCCCCGTGGTCTCCAAGGAACCCTCGACGCCCTTGCTCTCCGTGCTGCCCTTCGAACCCTGACCCTTCGTGGCAACGGTGGCCTGGCTCCCTGCAGCCCGGTTCAACACCACTGTGCTGGTTGTTGTGGCCTCCTCCACCGCCGTTGTTGTGATCGGGACTGGCAGGTAGATGCGCTGCCAAAACACTTCTGGAATGGAACGACCTTCAGGGCAGTGAAGCCTAAAGCTTTGAGCCCAGGAGCACCGCGGGCAGGCGGCTTCGAAGGAGCTGAGGAAGGCACAAGGAGCTTCTGAGTGGCAATGGAAGGTTGAGGGTTTTTGGGTATCGTAGCCCGCGTGGAAAATTGCCATAGCACTCTGAGCATATCGACAAGAGCAAGTTGACGAGCAAGCGGAACTAGTGCACTGATGGTGGTTGTGGCGGTGGTGGTGGTGGTAGTAGTATAGTAGTAGTAGTAGTAGTAGTAGTAGTAGTAGTAGTAGTAGTAGTAGTAGTAGTAGTAGTAGTAGTAGTAGTAGTAGTAGTAGTAGTAGTAGTAGTAGTAGTAGTAGTAGTAGTAGTAGTAGTAAACGAGTAGTAGTAGTATTAGTCGTAGTAGTAGTCGTAGTAGTAGTCGTAGTAGTAGTCGTAGTAGTCGTAGTAGTAGTCGTAGTAGTAGTCGTAGTAGTAGTATTAGTGCAAGGGTGGGTCACGGGAGTGGTGCGCATGCTTTCTTTTGTTGTCTTTAGCTAGTCTATATTACTCGACCATGTGTACTGAAACCCTATGCCCTAAAACCTAGTCCTGAAGCCCCACACCCTAGCTTGACAGCTTAAACCAAACACGAAGCCGGAAACTGCTTTCTTTTCTGGAGCTTCGAAGAAAAAACCAAGAAGCCAAACGCCTTTCTCAGGTTTTCCAGCTCTTCAACTTCGTGCATCCAGGGATGGTGAGCTTCAAGCTCCAGGCATTCTGCTTCTCTAGTTTTTGAAAATATGGGTTTTGCACCAAGACTCTCTTTGTTTTGAGTTCTTCGGCATGCTAGACCCTAAACCCTGAGCGCTGAACTCTAAACCCCAAACGCTTGAGGCCCTGCTTGAAGGGAACAGCTTCGAGATGCGGACGCAGATGGGTTTCGGTCCTTTCTCCTCCAACGAGAAGAAGATCTTGGGTGCTGTTTAGTAGGAGATTCTGTCTTGGAGTAGATACGAGGAGAATCCGAACTCGTATTTGTCGTTGTAGTTGTCGTTGTAGTAGTAGTAGTAGTAGTAGTAGTAGTAGTAGTAGTAGTAGTAGTAGTAGTAGTAGTAGTAGTAGTAGTAGTAGTTGTTGTTGTTGTTGTTGTTGTTGTTGTTGTTGTAGAAGTAGAAGTAGAAATTCGAAGTTAGAAGTAGAGGCTATCCTGCTGCTGCAGCAACTGCTGGTCTTTCCTTCAGTCAGGATCAAGATGGTGGACATTGTAAACCAGTTTCTGGTGATCCTTCACGCCCTCCCCTTCGTGTCTGTGAACAGCAGAAACAAGGCTATCCATGCCCTGCGGCACTTCTCGGGCCAGGACACGCCGCCGCCTGTGATCCCACAGCCCGGTGACAACGTCGCCATTCACAATCGGTTCTTCAACCAGTACCTGAACATTCACAATCACGGTGCCGTGCACTCAAGTCATTCCCATAATTACGAATCGGGCCTGCACCCAAGTTGGATTTGGGAGCGTTGGACCGTCATCGATGCAGGCAACGGCGAGATCGCGCTGCATCACCAAAGGTCGAACCGCTTCCTTGGCATCAACGAGCACGGCCTCTATGGCCATGTCGCTGCGGCCAGCCACTTTCACCACAGTTGGGTCCACCATCGTTTCAGAGTTCCCCCAAGACCAACCCCAACTGAAAAGAAAATAGGCAGTTTTGTAGAGTGAGCTTGTTTCTCTCAGGAATGCCTATCTTTGTATTTTGCCTCCTATGGAAACGCAAAGAAAAAAGAAAAATGGCTCTTGCCTCCTGTTTTTCGGTTTTGTATAGTATATATCTTGTCTTACTGCTCTTCGTTTTATGTGAGAGGTTGGTCTTGGGGGGAGTTACCCTATAAACATATGTACTGTCATACCGCAGAGAGACAGAGGTCGACGCCTTGCCTGATGGCTGGACGCATCAGCAGTTCCGCTTTCAGATCATCGAGCCCTTCTTGAAGCCTGGCAGGGTGCTAGCCTCAGAGCTGTACCAGAGTTTATGTTTTGGGGGGTTGCCAGACTGTGTGGAAGATGTACGTCGTGTTCTTCAGGAAGGTACCGAGCACCACGGTGTACTGCACAAGAAAGATAAAGACCTAGGTGGTGGCCTTGTTCAACCATGCTCACCACAGATGGTTGCGCATGCACCACTGGGACCTGGACCGCTCTTCTCCACATGGTCTCAATTTCCCTGCCGGTTGGTTGTGGGAACGGTTCCTGGTGGTGGATGTCGGGAACGGCCAGGTGGCGCTTTTCATTGGACCTACTCTACTTTCGAAACTTTTGGTGTAGCATCGTGATAAAAAAAATTCTAGTATAGATGGTGTATTACAGACCACCCTGATTGAGTGCAGTGTGCTCATTGAGGTGGCGCTCTTCGGCACGCATTGGAAGAGGTTTGTGGGCCTGGACAACACCGGACAGGCTTATTGCACGGGCCCCATGGAGGCTGATGGTCTGGCGGAGAAAGAGGTTTGGAACCACTTCCAGGCGGAACCAAAGAATGCAGCATACACCTTCTTACAGGTATATATATATATATGTATGCAAGACACACGTGCTTCGCACGCACTTAGTGTCTGTATGGACCACCGGATTACGGGACCTTGCAAAGCTCGGAGGTGTTGCAGGTTCTGGAGCCCTGAAAGATCTGAAGCCCGGAGGCCCTTCCGGGCCTTCAGTAGGCTCAGGACCCTGGACAGCTGACAGGGTGGGGGTGGGGAAGTGGGGGTAGGGGTTTTGTGAGGGGCCCGCTGCTCGGCTGCTCGGGCCCGGAGCAGATGAGTTTTAAACTTTCAATGGCTTCCAGGACTTCAGGGGCCTTGGAAAGGGGTCGTTTAAGGGACTTCCTGGAAGAAGAGGTATGGCTGCCCATTGGCGGCATGCCTGCGCACAGTGTCCTACGTCCCGGTGCATGTGCTAACATACCACAACGATCATAAACTCAAACTTGGCAGAGAAGGCATGCACCCTTGCAAACAACTGTACAAGCAAAATCACACAACCAATCAAAACAACAAAAATCTCGTAAATAAAGACAAAGTAAACGACTGCAACCTTCACCCCGCAGGGGACTACCAGAAGTACAAGGGCCCTGCAGCCTCAAGGCCCAGGTACAAACAAAGCAAGCCTTGCGACAAAACCACAGCAAACTGGGCTGAAGAAGGGGGGAGGAGGGGGAGCAACAAAAGAGGCGACCAAAAGGAAAAAGGAGGGTAGGGAAAAACAGGCCCCAAACACAAAGCGCAAGGGACAGAGGAGAGCCAGAAAACCACCAGAAACATGGGAGACATACCGAGAAAAAGACCCCGACACCAAACCGAGACAGAGGACCCAACATAAACGGACGCTTACCAGCCCGCCCACAAGACCAACCAACAACAAGAAAAGCTGCAGGGACAGCACCCTGTCAGCACTGATGACTGACGGTACCCGAGTCGACAGGGACAGCAAATTCAGGGCACCGAAGAATTCTGAGACAACGAGGAAAAATGCATGAAAAAGGGCAGGTTGCACGGGCACATTTTCCATGCGCAGCGTTGCGATCCACCTGGGGGGGGGGGGGGTGGATTCTTCACCTCACCTTTCCTTACGACGACGACCAGCTTCCGGCACGCCACCCTCAGATTCACGCTTGGGACTATGACACGAACCATCACTGCCCCGACTCTTGCCTTTGCCTTTGCCCTTGCCTGTAACATCTTCCCCCAGTTGCTTGAGGACCAGCCTGGCAGCCATTCCAGGCTGGTGCCGATTGACCTTCACGCCCAGGTCATGCTCCCTGCCGAGGCAGCGACAGCCAGGCATCCTTGACCCTTTGTGCTCCCTCCGAGTCGCGTAGGACAACCTGAGTTGGCTAAGGTATCGGATTTCGGCCGTCGGATGACTGACTGCGTTCACCACTCCAAGAAAAAAACAGCAGCAACTTCCAAGCCCTCCTTGTCCATGCCCGCAAAGTGGTCCCGCAGATGCAACGAAGATGTCTGGTCTGTTGGCGTCTTTGAGGTTTCCCCCCACTTGCCCCAGAGCTCCATGAGCTTACCCTTGAGGGCACCCCTGAAGCAGCAGCGCGGGGCCTCAGCAAGCATATGAAGCTTCGTCAGGACGGGGCGTCCCCTGCATCTGCTGTGTAATGCATACTATCCAGGTCGGTCGAGTGCACGCATGCATGTCAATCACACGGTGCACGTGCGTTACAGTTCCCGTTGAAGTGCCCGCACTGCCGGAAAGAAGGAGTGGAGCCGGTACCACAGTTCCAAACTTCGCATGCCTACTCCTTGCAAATCGGCTTCTCGCAAACACGTGTAGAAAATGACCGTAGCTTGAAGGTTCGAGCATTAGCGCAGCCACAGTCTCGGTTCATGCGAAGTGCAAACCTCCCAGCGTCAGGGGATAGAGGTCGCGAAGAAGTCGCTCGTCTTTTTCGTCAAGGCGCGCTCAGCGTCGGGGTTCAGCCGCAGCACCAGGCCTGGCAGGCCCACGTCCACAGCAATGAGCTCCAAGCGGCCTTCCTCGTCGAGCTCAACCTGCACGAAGCGATCGCTGAGACGATAGAGCCAGGCACGGGGCAATCCCAGACCGGGTGGCCCGCTCGCCAAGCCAGCTTTTTACGGACCTTCAGCTTGGCTCGGTCGGGATACTGCGGAAACAGCTCCAGCAAAGATCCTCATTAGATGGACCTTTGCAGCACGCGCGGGGCGGATGCTCCGGCCCACCGCAGGCTACTGACATACAGCCTCTCCAGCACTTCCGAACACTGTACGGAAAGCATGTTTGGCACATTCCCCGGTAAGCGCCTTTCCGGCACGGACCTCCACATCGCTTGCATGTGGTGGGCAAACAGACGCATCCTCCTGTGTATTTTGGTGTCGTGGGGTCTTGCCTGAGGGGGGAGAGAGTGAGGAAGAGGAGGCAAGGACGGGGGTCCCTGAGAAGTACTGCCATCTTCTGATCGGCAGGGCGCGTGCCGGGACAGGGTCTGGAGTTGCAGGCTATGTCCCAGGGCGTTCGACGACGAGCATTCGAATACGTTTAGCGGGGGGTGGCCGAGGGCACGTACACTGTTCTTTAACATTTTCGCTTCTGTTTGTACCATGAGTGCGAGCAGTGCTAGATCGCGGGCGGTGATTACTTCCGTGTTCCAAGGCTCTGTGGCCACAAGATTGATCAGGGTACACCACTCCTGCCCCAGAAGTTTCTTAGCCACGTTGACTAACTGAGCAGCAGCCGGTAGTCCTCCTGGCGAGCTTCCCATTTGACCCAACACGGCGCCTCCTGCCCTCCCCTGGGCTGAACCGGCCGAAACCATACAGCTATCGCTCGGGTAGCTTGGCGCCAATTCTTGCCATTGTCTGCACATGCCAGTTGCAACCACCCTGTGTAAGACAGCCCTGCTGCCCGCATGAATCCCGCGGACAACCCTCACAAAAAGCTAGCAAACATTGCCCACTTTCATTCACATGTCCCATCCCAAAAAGCATCACTGGCCGAACACAGCCCCGCCTCTCCGTCCCCTCTGCGCCGACCCACCCGCGCATGAAAATCGCCCATCACAACAACTGGCTCACCTGAGCTTGCCGATCCCACCATCGCTTCCAAATCCCTGTAGAGCATAGACCGAGATGACGTTCACCAGCCTGCCCTTGAGTTTCAGCTTGATATGCGCAAAAGCAATCCGCCCTCTCTCATGCCTTAAGCAGGTCCGCATTCAGAGCAATACCCACTCCTTGAATAGACCGATGTGCCTCTGGCACCAGCCCTGAGAACAAAATCGAATACTCCCCAAACGGGCGCCACTTCCAAGGTGCACGCGCCGTCTGTGTCCAAGGTGCACGCGCAACGTTGGGCACCTGCGCAGGGCCGAGTGTTCTTGTACCCTGAAGCCTCAACCGTAAACCCTTAACCCTAAGCCCCAAGCCTTAAAACCCCTCAAAGCCCTCTCCGACCTGTGCCACCCAACCCAAAACCCTAAACCCCAAACCCTAAACCCTAAACCCTAACCCCTAACCCTAAACCCTAAACCCTAAAACCCCCTAAACCCTAAACCCTAAAACCCCCTAAACCCTAAACCGTAAACCGTAAACCCTAAACCCTAAAACCTAAAACCCCCCAAACCCTAAACCCTAAACCCTAAAACCCCCTAAACCCTAAACCCTAAAATCCCCTAAACCCTAAACCCTAAAACCCCCTAAACCCTAAACCCCTAAACCCGAAACCCTAAACCCTAAAACCCCCTAAACCCTAAGCCCTAAACCCTCAACCCTAAACCCTAAGCCCTAAACCCTAAACCCTAAACCCTAAACCCTAAACCCTAAACCCTAAACCCTAAACCCTAAACCCTAAACCCTAAACCCTAAACCCTAACCATAAGCCCTAAACCCTAAACCCTAAACCCTAAAACCCCCCAAACCCTAAACCCTAAACCCCTAAACCCTAAACCCTAAAACCCCCTTAGACCCTAAACCTTAAAGCCAAACCCTAAACCCTAAAACCCCCTAAACCCTGAACCCTAAAACCCCCTAAACCCCTAAACCCTAAACCCTTAACCCTAAACCCTCAACCCTAAACCCTAAGCCCTGAGCCCTAAGCCCTAAACCCGACGCGTGGCACCCAAACGAGCGTGGGGCTCGTTTGGGTGCCAAGATCCTTGAAATTAACCCTAAACCCAGCCACTTCCAAGCTGCACGCGGCACTTCCCGGCACTTCCAAGCTGCACGCGGCACTTCCAGGCTGCACGCGCTCTGAAAGCCCTGGGCAGCCACCCATTTGGAAGTTTCCGGAATCCGAAAGCTTCGAAATACGTGGTAAAAACCAATGAAAACAAGACGTGTGTGCGGCCTGGACGCGGGAAAGACCGTGATTTGCTGTGTGCGCCCTGGACGCGGAGATGCGTGCGCCTTGAACGGTCCGGCCCCCCAAACCGAACCACATCCTCACTTTTCCACCTAGTTTCAGGAAGACAACACAACGAAAGATTGGTTTCCTCCAGTACACGAGAAAACTCCTCCGGTTTAACCACGTGTCCCTCCACACGAAGTTCTTTGGAATCCCCAACCTGAACGCAATTACCAAACGTAAGAACGTTCCTCCCCACCCCAACTCCAGACTCCGGCGCTTCCAGTTGAGCTTAGAACTCGAGCCCGCAGAGGGAGCCTTCACCTTTGGCTGCTGGCTCAAATGGCTGATCTCGGAAGGTACAGTTCGGTCCTGGGCAAAAGAAAAAACCCAGCGCCAGCTAGTCAGGCTGATACTGGGTGTCTGCCAAGGGCAGATGAAGGGGTTTTCCCCTGCTACAAACACGTATTCAAATAGACATCCACATATACACCCACACACACACACATGCACACATGGACAAACATAGACACATACATGCAGAGGCAACACAGACACATACGCACACTTCCTTACATACTTGTTTAATTGTGTATATACATTGCATGCATGTGTGTATATGCACGTCTGTTATCACTGTGGGGTTGTGGGATGGCTTTGAGTTGTGTACTATTGCGGCAGTGCAGAAGGACTTCAGACGGAGCTGATCTGAGGTGGTACCGGCAGGCCATGGCCAGATTGGACTGCATAATCCCACGAACAACCGCTTCCTCCGGATGACGAGCTCGGAAGGCTCTTTGCTGGGGCTTTAAGATTTAGTTTAAAGTCTAAGGATGTTATTTTTATTGTC